TTGTTGCTCTTTCTCTTTTGTTAGAGTCACTTGAACTGTTTTCTATAGCTTTTGTTGAGTTTTTGTTGATTTTGCTTGTGCTTGTTTTTGTATTCAAGTGATCGTCGGGGAGGGTTGAATGTAAACTGACTAATCAAATTTAAAAAATTAATTTTTTAATATTTAAAAAAGTTTTTATTAAGTTAGGGTCTGTTGGGCTTCTAAATAAAGTAGTAGAGAAGATTTTTCTAGTTCTAATAGTAGTTAAATCATCAAAATTGGTTTGGTAGATTCCAAGATATTTGAAGTTAAAGGTATAAATATAGGGATCTGCAAATTTAAAGAAATTTTTATTAAATTAGGGTTAGTTGGTCATCTGATAGATCCCAAGATATTTGGGGTTAAAGATGCGAATATAGGGATCTGCAAATTGGTGGTTATACAAAGTACTAAAGACTATAATATTTTGTGTAACTACCAATTTGCAGATCCCTATGTTTGCGCCTTTAATCCCAAATATCTTGGGATCTACCAGGCCGATTTTGATGATTTAACCACTATTAGAACCAGAAAAATCTTCTTTACAACTTTACTTAAAAGCCCAACTAACCTTAACTTAACAGTCACTGGACATGTCCTACCTGATGATCTTTCTAGTGATTTATTCTTTGTGTAATATAAATCGATATACCTTTTTTATTTTACTGCATCATTTAATTAATAACAATCAATATTTTGACTTTAAACAAACTTCTTTCTGAGTTTTATGCTTTTGTTTTGTACCAGAAATACTCGTATTGCTTTATTTTTTGTAAAATAAAATCAGACCTAAAAATCACAATTTTTTAACACAAATGTGAAGATTCTCATTCAGGTATTGTAAAATAAGACTGGTTTTACTTTGTTAACAGTAGCAAATGAAGAGTATTACAAAGTTTATTATTTGTGCAAGGGCACTTAAGTTGTAACTTTTAGATGTTCGCTTAAAGGTTACTTTTTAATAAAGTAAATTAGGGGTCAATTCGGTTTACTTTAATCTTTTTCTGTAAAGATCAAATAGATTTTTTTGGAAATTTTAACTAAACAAGGATGCTTATATATAACAGAATAATGATAATTTAAAAATTTTTAATTTTTATTAATTTGTATTTTCTAAATCTTTGAATTTTACTCATTTATTTTACATTCAAATAATAATTTAACACTATTTTATCTTTCTGTTCCCCACAACTAACATATCTATATTATATATAGCTAAACTAAATTTAGTGGAGGCCAGATAGTCCACTCTAGTAGAGCTTTGGGCTGAGAATAAATTAGTTCTAGCTGTAAATCCCTGTAATAATTCATGTAACTTACTTAAATAATATAATATATAATTATTTAATAAAGACCGAGGCCAGGCCTTACTCTTAAAAAAAAAAATACTATTTTATCTTTGAGTATACTTGTGTCAATTATTTCTCCAATACAGCCTAGCTCTCTCTTCTATCCAATCTGAACCAAGCTCTGATAGCACTTCTGGAATTTTATTTTTAAGCAATTCTCCTCCAGGTTCAAATAATTGTACAAGCATTTTACTTTCTGCTTTCGTGTAGTGCAGCGTAAATGTTTTGACAAATTACAGTAGTTACAAAAGAAGCCTGTTGTGATACTAAAGTATCCTGTTGAACAACTGGTTCATTATCAAGATTATTTACTTGTTTACATTTTTGGTTTTATTTTTTTATACTTTCAAGTTGTATATAAGTAAAATGATTTATATTTAGTATACGATGTTCAGAAGTTTAGAGCTTAGTTTTATATACATCCTCCTCAAGCACTTCTTAAAAGTGCAGTTTTCCAGTCTCATAGAAAGAAAGGATATTCTCAATACCCTCTTTGCTAATTTCTGGTGCATCTTCAAATAAATAATGTGTTGCAAGGTTTAGATGATCAAAAGCAGATTATAGCTTTGCAACTAGAAACCAGAGTGAATCTCTACGTAACTTAATTGTATAAGCATTTTGGCTCATTACAATATCATCAACGTATTCTGCAAGAAGTATTGATAAGCGATTTCTTTCACTCTGAACTGCTTTAATCTTCAATATCATAGTTTCTTGATTAATAATGTTACCAGTTATATTTTGTTTAACGAATTTTACACCATACGTTTCAAATGCTTCGTCAAAAGCAAAACAATGTTCTTCACTTGTAAGGTTTACTGAATATGCTATTTCTAATATTTTTTGTAGTTGTAAATCATTAACCTGAGCCAAAAAGTGTGCTACAGAACTTGCATACTTAAACTTTCCAGCTGCAGGGAAGAGAAGTGCAAATGCAGCCAAATTCACCATCAGCATTCTGTAGTTTCCTCTTTTAATTCTGATTTTATGGTCTATAAAATATCTCGTCCAGTGAAAGAAGAGATATCATATTTTTATTAGGTAATTATTACTATTTAAAATATTTTTCATTGTTTTTTTTTTCTTTTTTAACATGTTAATATAACGCTATCCCAACTGCTACTCAGATCAATTCTAAAACACAACACGTTATACGATAATCTACTACATGTTCAAACTTCTCTAGATATTGTACTCCGAAGGTTGCCACAAGGTTAAATTTCCATATCCAGAAAATATTGTAATTAAAGTGCAGCACATATCTTTAGATATGTACCACTGCCCTAAAAGAAGTCAGATATTGTTATGAATTTCTTTATAGGAAATCAATTTTATGAAAATTGTCTGATCGCATGCAATGTATAAATGTTTATCACTACCAAAAGGTAATTCATTACGATACATTTTACATGCTGTATGAATGTTATCATTGCAATTGGGTGGATTACCAGGTTCCAATATCACAATTTTTGGTGATAAAATATTGCAACCTAGAGGTATATATTTAATAATTTCATTGTGTACATCTTTCATTTCAAATTTATTTGCATGATTCTCTAAAATTTTATTCAAAGTAGTTTCGTATATCATCAATAGGTTGTCAGTAGTTAGAGACTCTCCAAATAACAGTTGATTAGTAGATTCATAATTTTCAACTAGATTTTTAAGCAAAGTAGGAAGAGTGAACTGGAATACTATTCGTAATGTTGCATATGAAGTCTGTCACATGATGTCAAAAATCTTGCTATATGAGAATGTAGAAGCTTTAAAATCGATATTATCAATTACGGCTAGATTCTAAATATTTGGTCCTTTAATTAGATTATTCTTGAGATCTATGCTATGCATTCTTAATTTTTTAAGACGACCTTCATGTTTTTAGTATATACGATAACAGATGCTGAACAAAGAATTTCTTGTAGATGTGATAATAATTTTGAATTTTGGCATATTGACAATATAATATTTGAAAGTCAAACTTTTACTTCAGAAAAAGCAATTGTAAGTAGCATTGAAGTTAACAAAGTGGTGGTTTTCGTTATCTAACTTATATCAAATGATTTTAGGGGAAGGTTACGTTAAAGCCTTTTATTATTAACAACTTTTTGTTTATATTGATGCAATACTGTAAGGAGAGTTGAAAAAAAGTACAAATGATATTAGATAATGCATTAAAGTAGTCTTCATATAAGCTTAGATTTTTTAACTGACTTCTGTTTTCTTTAATTTCAGGGTGTAAAGATAAAATTTTCTTTTCTAAATTTTCTCTCATCGTCGATGCCTATTTCACAGTTATATGAGTCCTTTCTCTGATTAATTGATTCAATTCAATTTTTCTCATTTTCATTGTTATTCTAATAACTAACTTACTTAGTAATTTTGCTATTTCTTCTTTTGGTAAATTTTCGTCTATTGTAGTTAATGCTAGGATACTCAAAATAGGACTTTGTTTTGCAATTCATGATCATCTGAATCTGTTACCAATATTAATCATTTTCTGATAAGCTTTAGAGTATCGCTAGTATCATCTTGGTGTTTTTCAAACTTACATGATCGAAATTGTTTGTTTTTACCAGGTCTTTTATACAAATGTCTGCCATTTTATTGAAAACATTCAGAGCAGATGTAACATACACAATACCCAGAAGATGTCTTTTTTGCAATATATCTCTCAGAAAGTGCAGGGCAGTCATGAACACCAATACAAGATACTTGAATATTTCATCCATTAATATTCTATACATGTTGTACACAACTGTTATCATGACTAAAGAAATATTTCTTTTTATTACAGAAAAGGCAAATACGAAAATGAACTATGCTTTTATGAATCGAATGTGATTGTTTCAAGCCCGGAGTATGAAGTTGGTTTTGATCATATAAAAAATAATTATAGTATACACCAAGTTGATCAAGTATATATGCATTGCCTTCCTATATTCCTATTGCTTGTTGCAATCACCGCAGTTTGCTGGTCCATTGCCTTGAATATTTTCAACTACATGTACATCTATTTCTCATGTTCCTACTAATTGTCATAATCGCTGTAAATTTGTTGTGCTATTGTAGCACTTTATCTTACCTTCAAAACTATCTACAACTACATATGGTGTTAAATTCAGATTTGAAATAGAACTCTCTTCAATTTCTATATCCATTTTATCATCTATTGTCGAAAGGAGTTCTTCATGATCAGAATTTTCAGATTCAATTTCGTCCAAGTCAATATCTTCACTTTTGTCATTATGTAGTAAGGTTTGCGCACTTTTAAGAACAATGTGATGGATTATGAAAACCTCTTCATAGTTTTCTTCCAAAGCATTATACTCCTCCAAGTAAGTAGATTCAAAATCAGACATTGTTTTAAACATATTATTTTTATGAAAACTTATAAATTTATTTAATAGTTTTGTAGTTGAATTATTTCTTATGAAAGATCAAATCAAGAATATTACAGTGGAAACTAGCTTGAGTGGCAAGACTATTTATATTTTTTTTATTTCTATGAATTTTCATTGCCTACTACATTTTTAATTTATATAATTATATAATAATACATATAATTTTTTTTTTTTTTGAATTTTACATTATTATTTTACATTTGCTTACTACAGTTTTAATTTATCAATAAGTAAGATGATACATGTAGCAATTCGACTACTTTTCAAATTCAAAACATTCAGCAAAATGAAACATTTCTGAAATTTGTTTCCTAGAACATCAGAATCCTGAAATAGCCAAATCTGCATAAGAATTTATTTTTTTAATTTTTTTTTTTTATAAATTTTACATTGTCTCATTTTACATTTCTTACTATATACAGTTCAATTTATCAATAGATAAGATGATACATGTGCAATTCGACTACTTTTCAAATTCGAAATCTTTGGCAAAATGAAACATATCTGAAATTTGTTGCATAGGGCATCAGAATCTTGAAATAGCCAAATCTGCGCAAAAATTTCTTTTTCTTTTTTTTTATGAATTTTATATTGTCTCATTTTATATTTCTAGATAAGATAATACACGTAGCAATTCAACTACTCAAATTCAAAACATTCGGCAAAAATAAAATATTTCTGAAATTTGTTGCCTATGGCATTAGAATCTTAAAATAGCCAAATTCACACAAGAATTTTTTATTTTTATTTTTTTTTTATGTTGTCTTATTTTATATTTATTACTACAGTTCAATTTATCAATATATAAAACGATACACGTAGCAATTCCACTACTCAAATTCAAAATATTCAGCAAAAATGAAACATTTTAAAATTTGTTGTCTAGGGTGTCAGAATCTTGAAATAGTCAAATTCGCACAAGAATTTCTTATTCTTTTTTTTTTTTTTTTTTATGAATTTTACATTATTTCATTTTATATTCTTACTATAGTTCAATTTATCAACAGGTAAGACAATGAATGTAACAATTCGACTATTCAAATTTGAAACATTTGGCAAAATAAAACATTTGTTACCTAGAGCATCAGGATCTTGAAATAGCTGAATTTGTACAAAATTCTATCTTTGGAAACTTCGCATACTCTGAAAGGAAAAGCAGAAATCTGTCTATATAGAATCTGAAAATTTTTTTAAAAATAATTGGTAGATAAAATTCAATTCAATTTCTGCTTTGGCTTAGGATAAGCTATTGATAAATGGAACCCATAATAATAAAATTAGGGTTTTCCTATTTTTGTTATTTATTTATTTTTTTTTGTTTCATTTTTAAAGTATTATTTATTCTTCACAGTAGATTTTACAAATTTTATTAACTTTATTAATATGTGAAATTTACAACATAATTGTGCAACTATTATAACTTCATTAGTTGTGATCTCAATATATTTCAAACAATTTGTCCTAGTAAAATAGATCTTGCCAAAGTGAAACATTTTCAAAATATTTTGATTGTCAACATGTTTTATAAATAGATATTTTACAATAAATAAATTTTATATTTGAAGCTTTATTTAATATAAAATTAAATATTTAAACTTCTATTATATTTTATAACATGTATTCCCAAGTATCTAACCAAATTTTCACAAAATAAATGCTCTTTGTAAATGCTATTCATAGTAAATCTGAACCACTACACTTAATTAAATATTTAACATGTTGAATGAAATATATGATCTTGCATGCTATTATATGTCGAATTGCAGATTATAAGTTTCAGATAATATTATAAATAGAAATAAAATATAATAGTAAATATTTAAAAGTCGCCAAATATTAAAATATGAATAATAACAAATTATACTATACATACCACTAGCTCAATTTGCTGACAACCTACTTCCCTATTTTAGTCATAAAAGAAAATATGCTGATATAATCGAAGAAGAACTGAAACATGTATACCTTAATTCTATTACTATAATGAAAAAGAAAAGAGTATTGAATTATTACACTTGATCGTACCACCAGACCTATTTGTTGACAAACTATTTGCCTCTTTCAATATAAAAAAAAAACTTGCTATTATAATCGAAGGAGTGTTGTAATGCATAAACCTTAGTTTTAAAAAAAAGAAGTGTCAAATTATTACACAATACATATGTTAGTTTTTTTATTACTAAAAGAGGGAAATAATTTGTCAGCAAATAGATCCAGTGACACAATCAGGCTTGTATAATTCGATATTTTTTTTTAAAGAAAACCATGCAATTATAATCGAAAAGATGTAAATATATAACTTGATTCTATTACTGTAGAAAAAAGAAAAGTATTGAATTACAGTATTATACCCATGCAAGTCTGATTTGATTGTGCCACCAAGTCAATAACAAAAGAAAAACGCGCTATTACTGTAGCAAAAAAGAAAAAAGTATTGAATTATTACATACAAGCCTGATTGTACCACAGGTCTATTTGCTGAAACAAAGACCTTACATAACTCATTTCTGTTACTGTAGCAAAAAGAATATCTAGAATTATAAAGGTATAAAGCAAGATGTTTTTGCGATGTTTAAAATCTCTAATCAACTAAATATTTATCTTTGGTGAAGTGCAAACTGACGAAACAGGCTGTTGGAATCTGTTTGTTAAAAAGTAGAATAGTAAAATAAAGTGTTAGGAGATAGTTGCCATGAAGTCAATCAGAATACTATATATTATAGGGGTTAGTGTACTCTAACTTTGAGTGAAGATTCTCATTAAACTAAAACAGAACTCTGAACAATGCAAGTAGAGGTGACATTGCTGTATTATCCACTTTTCTGCAACTCTGATTGGTTAAAATAAGGCACAACCAATCATAGTTGCAGATTTTGGATAAAATTTGTAAAAAGTTTATATTAGAGCTAATATAACCTCTATTAGTATTATTCAGGGTCCTACTAAAACAAATTAAAAATCGAGATTTTGTAGTTTAATAAAAAAATATTCGATCTATATTTTTAATTTAAACAACAATAGTTGAAAGGTTCACGAATTTGAGATTATCATAGAAAAATCTCCTGCAAAGATGAAATTTATATATAAAATTGAATGATCGATATCTAAAATTATCATATGATCAACATTTCGAACTCCTGTAAAAGGACATGTCCAGTAACTGTTAATAAAAACTTTAAATATTAAAAAATTAATTTTTTAATTTTGATTGCTTATTTAAAAATAGATTTTTGTGTAACCCATAGTGGAAATAGCAATTTACCATGGTGGAAATAGCAATTCCCTTTATTAATTCTAATTTTTAGTTTTAAATTATAATATGTAAATTAGTACAAATAATTTTAATAAATAGAAATTTATAAAAAAATTAACAAAATTATTTATATTATTTTAATAAAATATATTTTATTAGTTTATAAATTATATAATTATATATACAGTATTATATATAGTTTACAAATAATAGTTATTATTTTATAACTATTTTTTAATTTTATGCTTCAAACTTATACTGGTTTTTGGTTCTAGTTTATTTATTATTTATTTATATTTTTGTAAATAATAAATAAACAAAATTTCATTATTCAAATTTAAATACAAAGATAAAATTCTAATATTAGAGTGTATATATAATTGTTACTCTTTTAAAAACTATGTGTATAATAGCAGTTTGAATATGAGTTGATTTCGCATCTAGTATATTATTTAACCAATCTTCACTATTTTATTAAAAAAATAACTATGTATTGTATGTATAATTCTAAATTTGAAATTTTATACTTGTTAAATAAACAAGAAAAGCTAATCAGTATTGTATCAATAATGGCACCTAATTCAAACAATAGCAACACATATATTTTTTGTATATATACATATATATATCTATTTATTATTATTCATGAATTCACATTATATTATCCTTATTTTATAGATATATATAATTATAATTTAAAGAAAGTATTTTTAGCAAGCATTCTAGAATCGATACATTTTTCATATAAAACACTCTGAAATAGCTATACTATTACAGCTGTTCTTATAAATTCTAAGCAACTAACAAAAATTAATTAATAATTATTTAGTTGAATTCGATAAGCTTTTGAATTTATATTATCGGTATTAAAATTTTAATATTATAGTAATGCTGATAACACTAAATTTAAAACTTAACAAATTTAGCCAAATAATAATCAGTTAATTTTTTTAGTTGTCTCAAAATTTATAAGAACAGCTGTAATGTATTTTAATAAAAGTGCTTAAATAATATCAGCAAATATGAAATTAATTTAACAATTATAAAAGATCAATTTTAGTTTAGAAATTTGTAGTAAAGAACCTATACTTTAGATTTTTAAACTGAATATTAAATATTATTGAGTCAAAAACTTGAAAGTCTAAATATAGATTTATTAAATAATTGCAAATTTATAAAATACCTCAAAATTTGAAAATTTTAACTATTAAATAAATAATAAGAGTAGCATCATTTATCATTTGATTTTTTTTTATCAGAAGCTTACTCCCTCTCCTCTCCTCTTATTATATATTTTGATTAGGTTTTTATATATAATTTGAAATTTTTTACCCCTCCTACTTCTAAAAAATCACCTGATTTTTGTCACGTCTCTAATGATTTTGACCAAAATAACTACTATCCTCAGATAAAGATGCATCATTATAATAAATTTCTATTTCTAATAAGATACTTCAAAAATGAAAAAATAGATTAATATATAAAAAAGATAGGTTAAAAAACTTCTTTAGATTTAACATTGATTTATTTATATGTTATTTGATAACTAAAATTTAAAATTGAAAACCAAATACTCAGGTTTAGTAGCTAAATTTTAGCTTAATTTCATAAATTTATCATAATGTAATTTATATCTAAATATTCAATTGTAAGTAAATATAATGCATTGTAATAAAATTAAGATTTTTTTATTTTAAAATATTATTTTTATCACTGCAAAATTTGAAATTCAACAGCAATCACAATATGATTTATAGTTAAAATTAATTCAGTTATATTATAAATTCTAGGGTTTGGTTTTTATAATTTGCAATTTGGTTATCAAGTATAGTAAAAATAAATTAAATATTTTAATAGAAATTTATAAATACTGTAAATGTTGATTTTTATTAAATATTTAATAATGAGCAAATTTTAGTGATATAATAGCATTTAGATAATATATATATAGTATTATATATAGTAAAATTCTAGGTAAATTTCGATATAAAGCTATGCAAACTTAATTAATTAGTTTTCATAACCCGGCCGGGTCAAAATTTGAAAATTTGTAAAAAAAAAATTTTGTATGTTTTAATAACCGGGTGGGTATTTTAAAAAATTTTTAAAAAAATTTTATAAAATTTTATATATGAAATTTAAAAAAAAAAGCCGGCCGGCCGGGTCTGTTTAAAAGTTTCATGTTATGAAAACCAATATATTAAATTTGTGTGACCTAAGTAAGAAAATTTTCTGAAAGTAGGCTATTGGTACTTAGCCATTAGCTAGTTGTTTAGCCGATAATTTGGTCAGTTGGCTAAGCCAGTCGACCAAATTCATGTGGCTTAAATCACTATTTTGGATCTCCGCGATCATGTTACGTTACATCTAATTGTGATTAATTATTGGCTAATCTGATGTAGGTTATCAAGCATAATATTAACGCTAGCTAACTTTATTATAATCCACATGCTGCATAAATATATTATATTTAGCACTTACAAGTAATTGTCTTTTATTCGTGTTATACTATAATAAGATTTGGTTGGTCTGTTGACTATTTAAGGAAATTGATAATCATTTGATTCACTATTTTTGGTATTTATAGGTATTACAAAAATCAACCGATTGTATGAAGGTATTCTTTTTTTTGCGCTAGTATTTTGCTCTTTTCAAATAGCTGTGCGAGCTAGATTATTGCACTCATAGCGCTCAAAAAAAAATTTCGCTTGTCGGGCAGATGTTGTATATATAGGAAAATTTTAATAAAATTTTTTTACCAAAAAAAAAATATATATAAATTCTCTGACTGCATAGCAAAAAAATATATAGCGTAATTACTAAAATAGTGGATATGATTAGATCTCCTGAATGCATATAAGTTCTAAATGTAGTTTTACTTTAAAAACAAATAATAAACCTTATGATTTTTTGCCAGTTTCCTCTTAAACAATGCATGGTTGCCATATGGTCCAGTCACGTAGCATTTTGAGGTCTGACTATAATAGCAAACCTGACCCTGTCTGACAAAACGAATGTTACGAAAAAAAACTTCACGGCATAATTAATTATCTACTATCGTGTTGCATTTTATTTTTTTGAAATTTACATATTGCGCACTGCATTTTACTAAAAATAACCATATATAAACTTCTTTAATAAATGCTAAACACTGCCTATAATTGCGTTGTTATATATATCGAATTTGTATAAATGCGTTTTTTATTTTTTTTTAAAAAATATTTGATATAGTCTCAACAACTTGGTCGACAGATAACACTTAAAAATATTTATTTCTCTACGCTACGTAATTCCTAAAAAAAAAGGCGACCATCTAACAAACAAAAAATCCTTCTATTCTTATTAGGTTTAACGATCGCTAATTAATGCATATGTCGGGAAAATAATTTTAACAAATATAATCAACAGTATATTCTTTGTTGATTTGTTGAAAAAATATTTCAAAAACCCTTTTGACTGCACTTTGTATAAACCCCTGAAGAATTCCTTGATAATTTAAATAAATCTCGATTCTTAAAAATCTAAAATTATTTTATTACGTGTTATCCTTATCTGCGCGTATCTTATATAGAAAAATAAAAATATTATTATTAAACGATTATTATCATAAACAAAAGATTCAAGATTCGTTGTTAGGCTTTTTTGTTCGATTCGAATTATCTCTATCTTTTTTTTTCATTCAGAAAAACCTATATAAAGATACAGATTTTTCAGTATCGATTGATTTAATAAATAACAAAATAAGAAAAAAAATAATAATAATAACCATGATATCTATTTTCTGTGCTATATCTTATATCAAAAATGTTTCGGGCTTGAGTAAAATCTGTAGCGGAAGTGCTGTGTATAGGACTGGATCGAATGATTTTGTCGAATACGTATTTAAAGCTTTTAGGTTCAGTGAAACGACGTTGGTAGAGGAAGTCACAAAAGGCAGCATATCGTTAATAATCGGCCGATTTACTTTTGTTACAGGAGAACTAAATGTAAAAAAAATTAAAATAATAAATTATTACTGAATAATTAAAATAACCATTACTAAAAATCAAATTACCTTTTATTTACGTTTATTGCTATGCATTCATTTATCTTTTTTTTTTTTTTTTCCTAAGGTTACAATCGAACAGAATACCTCCCTTAAAATTCAAACTTTAGAAGATTACCTGTCAATGTACAATCTCCCCATATCTCCGCCCTTTGGTGTTTTCACGGCTCCAGTTCAGGACCCTAGCACTCCAGAAGGTGATAATGCTGCTTTTCGTCTAAAGAGAGAATCTTATAATGGCGTAACTGCTTCTCAGATTACAATATCTGTTTTGTGTAAGTATGATCCCAAAGATCATCATGCTAACATAGCCGATGCAACGAAATGTCAACCTATAATCTCAGTCGCTGGTGAATTAGTAACGTTGAAAAGATCAGTGTGTGTGCTGAGTGAAGTAATAGAATAGACTTATCAAAACTAAGGAAACTCTAAAACCGGTGATGATAAATCAGTAAAAAATAGAAAATCAAGAAATGAAGAGTTAGAAAAATTAGTAGATAAATTTAGTCCACCCTCTAATAAAAAACAACCTCGCAATGTAACAAAGGATATAAACGAAGACCCGCAAGAAGAAAGCTCCTCGAGGGCAAAAAGATTGAAATTTGCTATAAACCAAGTCAACGAAATTAAAGGTAAGATGGTAATAAAAAGTTAAAAATAGAAAAAAAAATTAATAAATAAATAAATAAATTAAATAAAAATAAATAAGTAAATAAATAAATAAAAAATAAATAAATAAATAAAAAATAAATAAAAAAATGAAAAACAAAATAAAAAAATAAATAGATAAAAAATAAAAATATAATTGTCTCTCTAAATAATAGCATTTGGACCAAACTATCTTTTAGTTTATAAAAAGAAAACTCCGTATCAGCATAACTCCTTTATAGACACATTCTAAAGACACATTCTAAAATTAATTTACTGTGTTTTCGATTATATAATCGTGTGAGAGAACGACCATAATACTAATAAAAAAAAATACTGATGATTATACTAATTTTACGATTAATAAATTCTATTAATAACTCAAAAAACTAGAAAATGAGAATGCAGAAGTTCAACATAATGCAGAAGTTCAACATAATGCAGTAGATTTAACTCAATCAGATGAAAATTCCGCTGAACACCTATATATCACAGTTGAAACCGATACTGACGGACTATATTCAGATGAAGAACAACCAAATAATCTCGATGATGAAGACACGCCTTAAGAATAATAGAATAATCGTTAATAATTTTAATACACCCGATTATCTATTTTTGTATATTCAAAATACAACTCCAATTAAATACTTCCTCTTTGTTTTATCTTCTTTATCTAAACAATGAAAATAAAATGTATTAATTGACTATAAAATTACATTATGTTATTAATAATAAAAAAACATAATTAAATAAGATATCAACCCTGACCCGTAAATCATATAAAAACTATGGCTCAACCATCATTTCATCGAGTTGACATTAAAAATTCCTTTGTAAAGTAAATCGAAAAAATAAAAATAAAATTAATAAAAAAATACATATATTACCTATCTTCATATATAAATTTTGAATTTACCTGACTTAGTCTATAATCCTAAACATGAGTAGAAACTTGAATTATTCTATCCAACGCTTCTCTATTCACAAATACGAAAGCAATATTCTATTAAACTTAAATGAAGAAAACTCAAAAACAAGTAACATTACTATCTTCTGGCCTTATACTTATTGCAATGAAATAAACCAATTCGTCATGAACAATCCTGTGCCAACGTCACAACATGACCAATCAACTGATTCTCCATTAGCTTTCCCGCCTTGGAGACTGTTACCTATGTTAAAAAAACTTCTTCATCAATTCGAAACAAAGATTTTGCTTGATCACCCTCATATTCCTTGCTGTTACTGTTCGATTTTAATGTATCAGTCCTCTACGCAGTGGATAACGTATAATCCAAATGAAGATTACACTTTATCTGTGGCATTTCCTGATATACCCGTTTATCTTCGCCATTTTACCAACAAACCTAGTAAAATAGCCATCTGTAGAAGCTGTAAAAACCCAAAAACTAGAAGATTTCCTCCTATTCTATCATACTTACCTCGTGAAATAAGCCTGGTACCAATGAAACATAGAAAATATCTCTCACCGATCCACATGACATGCTCATTAGGTCGCACTCCAGGATCAAATCTCTATACCACGTACCGATTTCTACGGGGTGATTTTTTCTTAAGCAAGAACCTCCACGCACTTGAATTATTCTCTGGCATAATTGGTGCTTTCTTAGACCAAAATGAACCGGCACGCTGGTATCATAAAACCCTTCCCATCGCCGGCAATTGGTTAAAAATGAATAATCTAATATTTCGTCAGTACATGCTTTTACCTAATATCACTTCTCTCTCTCCATCAAACCCGTCACCAATTCCTTTACCTTTAGCAAGACAATCTCAAGAAAACACCAACACTGTTCCATTAGAAACAACTCCACGATCTCTGACCTCGTAATCCCAAACAATGCATTCTCTCCTGAAATACACAACGAAGACCTAAGATATAAAAGACTTATGGCCGGATTCATGAATTTAGGCAATTTGACGCTACCAATATCTTATGGTGACCCCGACCTCAAAGCAATGATTTTTCCTGACCTATTTCCTACTGGAAAAGGTCATTACGAAAACATATGCAGCCAACTAGATCTTCACTCAAGCACAGAGAGCTATGGAAAGTATATCAAACTAAGAATGCTCTGCTCTGATCCGAGGTTCAGGTTATACTGGTACTGGCCGCACTGGTCGTACTTGAATTTAGAAAAGAGACGTAATTTTCAATACAATTGTAGACTACTAAATCAAAAGAGCATATCACGAGAACATCACCTAACAAGAGCTGATCTTATAGATATTCTTATGTTATTTAACCGCTGCTTTTACAGTAAATTGCTTTATTTTGTCTCGGGTATACATATACTTATATATGCATATAACATGTATAAATATACGTATACGTATAGGTATACATATACCTGTATAATCTTTGTATTTTTTCCTTTTTTCCTTTTTTCTGAACTTCTAATTTAAAAAAAATTCATAATCATTAACAAAAATTTCTATCATGTTCACAGCAAAAAGTGTGTATACTG